ATAATCTGATGATAATCTGATGATAGTCTGATGATAATCTGATGATAATCTGATGATAATCTGATGATAGTCTGATGATAATCTGATGATAGTCTGATGATAGTCTGATGATAATCTGATGATAATCTGATGATAATCTGATGATAGTCTGATGTTAATCTGGTTTCTTCCTGTCGTGGCACCGTTTCTCCAGGGCAGAGATGCGGGAAACTGTGTGGTCTTGATCTCAGATTATTTAATAAAAGATGCATATGCAGAGAATGAGCAGAGCTGGACGCAATCGAAGTGTCTGTCAAGCTCACGCTGACCCGGAAACAGGAAACAGATAATATATACTTCCTGCTAACAAAATAAGAGCGTCAGAGATATACAGGGGCCAATGACATGGTTACAAGTAAATAGGCCATAAGATTACATGAGTACATACAGTGTCTTAAGAACCATGATAAACAGATTATATAATGGTAAGTATGAAGAGATAGAGAACAGGACATGTCAAGGTAATGTGCAGTTAGAGAGTCAGAAGACATCCTTCATCACACTTCCTGTCCTGTTGCTCTAAATGTTTCCAGATGAAGAAACAGGTTGAAGCTGATTCCAGTTTGAGGATCTCTGGTCTGTCTGCACCCAGGTTCTGCTGGTCCTTCCTGTCATGACATCACCTCTCAGCTGCTCTCAGACTGATGACTAATTCAGGTGGAAGAGATCAGACACAAACACCAAACTAATTAAAGTCTCTGCTGCAGACAGGAAGCTTCAGTGGCAGCGCAGGAAGCGAAGCAGCATCATGAGGAGTGAGACTGCATCTGTGAGTACTGCACACTTCTTCACGTTCAAAACAGAGACGAGACGAGGAACCAGGACTGTGAAGGGTTACAGTCTGGGACTCTCAGTTAGCTGTGGCGGCCATCTTGAATCAGTTTGTACACAAGTTAACTATCTGAAAGCTTTAACCTCTCAAGTCTCGGGGGGTTTAAAATGTAGACAGAATGTAAATAAAAATATCATGAACAAGGATAAAAATATCTCATGGAAACCATGAAGACCATTAAAGCAAAGTAAAAAAAAAAGAAAAAAAGTTAGATTTTGACCCCACATCATTTTGTTGTGGGGCTTGAGATATTTTGCTAACAGACAAACCAGTAAAGACAATGTTTTCCAGAGGTCCATAAAGTACTTGGAAAAAAATAACTCAAAGTAAAATTACACGAACAGAAAATGACTTTAGTAAAAATAAATTTCACTGATGAGAAAACTACTCAAGTAAAAGTCATAAAACTTCACAAAAATTGGGAAAGTAAAAGTACTTTTACACACTCTCTAAGAAATAAACTCTTTATGATGATTTCAGACAGATTTAATTTATAACAAGTAACGAGGTGTTACTTTTTAAAGTAAAGAAGTAAAAGTATTATTTTTACTATAAAATGTCACAAAATAAGAGTAAAAGTACCTATTTAAAAATAAATTTGTAACATTACAAATCCTCAAAAAAATAAAATACTGTAATGAAGTAAATGTACTTAGTTACTATAAACCTCTGATGTTTTTACATTATTATCCATTTTTCACGACTGCAGGTGATAAAACTTTATTTAATCATAACTATAGCTTCTCTGTACTAAAACTATCATCTAATAGATTTTATTTTTTAAAGTTATTTTATTATTACTATTGTTGTTGTTGTTATTTGTGTTGTTTGTGTTATTTGTGTTGTT